AGATATTACTTCTCCGTATCAGGTATAATCCTTCTCACTTCTTTTTGGTTCAAATCTGGTTCAGTTTATGGTTCAGAATTGATCATTGAAAATATGATTTTCTAAATGGGGAATACGATTCCCAGTTGAAGGGAGAGAAAAATTTTTGAAATTCGCCCCTTATTCCGCAATCTTTTGGGCGTCCATAGGATGGATCTCTCATCCCTTCATGTACTTTAAGATAATATGTAAACAACAATGGTAGAGTTAGCCAATTAGCTAAACCATAAGGGTAATTTAAGAAAATTGCCTTTATTTTTTTAATTTATAGTCCCTCTCTAATTGCAAGGATTGAAAATATAATTTGAATTGCCACTTTCACCTCATTTAGTAGTTTAATCTCCACTCATTAAGTCTTATATTTAAGATATTAATTCTCATGCTCTTTCATTAAAATCTATACTCAAGGTATTATTTTTCACCAATAAACTATACTAATTAGATCCATATCCAATACTTCTAATAATATAAAACTCATGTTTTTTAAAGCTGACTTAAAAATAAAACCCTTATTTTGTTCAAGTGGCAAGTAAGCAATTCAATCATATAAATCAACCCATAATGTCATAATTAAAAATAATTTAAAAAAAATAGAAATAAATACACAAATTACAAAAGAAAAGAACACATGTACAATGCTCTATGTAGGTATTGTAGGCTCCATGATCACCATGGCTTGGTCAAGCCTCCAAAGGTCTGGAGAAGTCGACGGGAAAGAGAGAGGACGTGGGGAGGAGAGGAGAAGAGGGGAGAGAAAGGAGAGTCCTCCTTATGAGAAAACCCTAGGTCTCAGTTATATTGTCCCCCTCTGCCCAATTGCTCTCCTCTTTTATGGAGAGAGAGCCAAGGCTATATGGAAAAAGACTTAAAAGAAGACTTTTCCTGTTAGGAAAGGAGATATTTCCTTTTCGTTTGACTATTAAGGGAGCATTATTGGAGTTTCGCTACGTGTCCAACGAGATCCTCGAAGACAAGGTTTTCTTTCCCTTAAGGATTTTCTATGTATGCTACATCTTTTTGTGACCCTTTTATACTAACGTGGTGCAAGTGACATCATCATTCGGTGGGTGCGCTTTTACTAAACCCATGTGACGTCTTATCACACACGTAATTTAAAGACACACGTGTAACTGACATTTATTTTCGGTTTTTCGTGGTTCTGTAATGGTTTCGGGTTCATCATAACTATGCGTGCGTCCGATGTTCGCAAATTCACGCACGTCTAAGATTCATCGCAGATTTGCGTAGGCCAAAGCTCATCGCGACCTGTTTTGGGTATGAGTTCATCGTAGATTTGCAATGAGTTGTGAATACATCGCAAACATGCGATGAGTTATAGGTTCATCGCAGACATCTGTGTAGTGTTGGTTTGACACCCTTTGTACTTTGATGGTCTTAGTGACCACTATGTACCCATGCTCTATATTGACCATATTAAAGAAAATTAAGCCTCTCAAGCAATAACTGTTTTAATTGATGATGATGATAAAATACAAAATTTAAAATCAATAAAAAATTATTTCCTATTTGGTGGTGGATCAACATTTCAACTTATAAGTCAAATGCGACAATCATTGATATTATAATTAAATAATAAAAAATTAATAAAGATGAAAATACAAACATTGACAATATACATAAATTTTGTAGAAAACATAGAAAAATTTAAACACATCTATAATTGTGAGGATAGAAAAATAATTTTTTATTGATTTTAAATTTTGTATTTTATCATCATCATCATCATCATCATCAATTAAAACATTTATTGCTTGAGAGGCTTAATTTTCTTTAATATGGTCAATATAGAGCGTGGGTGCATAGTGGTCCTGTGATGAACCTATATTATTAATACAATTCAACCATTTAGGTCAAAATGGGTCAATCCATGATGTCTCAATTAAATATTAAAAATTAAAAAATATAAAAAACATAAAAAATTATAAATAATACATAAAATTTATAAATATCTAATATTATATATTCACCATATTAAATTAAAATAACTATAATAAATAAAAAAATACACAAAATATTACAAAAAATCAAGCACACATCACCTGAAATTGCCACGTGCAAGGCATATGAACATTTGTTAGTTGTTTATAAGGATATCAACAATAAGAAGTTAGACAATTTTTTTCCAAAGCATGTTAATTATATCATTATATATAATAATGCTAATTTTAAATTGATCTCAACCCTTATTGTTGGGAAAAAAAAAAGATTAACTTTGACTGATGAGTAGAGAAGTTGGGCCAACACGATTCCGACCCGACCAGTCGGATCGGGTTAGGGTTGGGGGTTCAGCAATTCGATTTGGGTTAGGTTGACCTCAATCCGATCTAACTCGGTTCGACTTGCACCACCATCTGGGACTTTCGTCATTCATTTTCTCTTCACAAAGTCCGTGCATTGCACGGGTCCGGACTAGTGAAAAAAGGGAGAGCCTCTGAGAGCGAAGGTTGCTGGAGCTTTCTTCCACAGCGACTTCTGTGTTCTTGGTCATTTTTTGAGGAGAAAATCAGGGAAAAAGATTGTGAAAAGTTAGAAAACAGTTTTCTCCTTCACTCGTTTTTTCTCTTTTCATTTTCGTTTTTCTCTTTTTGTCCCCATCTATATTTCTAGGGTTCCTATTTGCTCAGTTAAACCAAACATTGCTCCTGCTCGGTGATAAAAAGTCAGTGGCTAGGGTTTCTAAAAAATCTTAAATTTCAAAGCCAAAATTCATGGAGGCCGATTCGTGGAGTGGTCGTGTTTCTACTTCCTCTAGGCGCTATCAATCAGCTCTTCCATCCCGTTCGGGTAAGTATAAAAAATATATTCTTCATTCGACAAAAAGATCTTCTGGGTTTCATTTTGGTTCTGTAGCAGTTCAGACTTTTGATCATAAATTTGTTCTGATCGAATATGGGGAAATTTATTGATCAGATCTTTACTTCGGGTTTGAAGAAATCGACGGCGATGATGACACGCGAGCGGAATTTCCTTGCCCCTTTTGTTCAGAGGATTTCGATATCGTTGGATTATGCTGCCATATCGATGATGAGCATCCTGTCGAAGCTAAAAATGGGGTATCTACCGCTCTCTCTCTCTCTCTCTCTCTCTAAAACTTTTTGACGTAGCCTGTGTGATAAAGAATCGCCTTATAAGAGCGTCTGGTAATGCTTTTGATGTTTTTGACTTGTTGAGTGCTATTGAATCATAAAATTCGCTAGTTAAATTCCTCTTACCTTCCATTAAGTGCGTCAATGGTTTCGGGATTTTTCCCCCTCCAGCTATACGTTAGGCACAGTGAGGTTATAGGAAATACCCCCACCCCGGCTCGATCTGCTCATGGGTGGAAGAGTGTGTGCCCAAACGCAAAGGAAGATGTTTCATTATCAGTGTTCGGTTTGATATGGTATTGCCTTCTTCATTTAGTAGGAGCTCGTCTGGAGATGTATTTTTAACGTATATCATCGGCAACTTGGTTGTATTTGCAGGTATGCCCAGTATGTGCAATGAGGGTGGGGATGGACATGGTTGGACACATAACCATGCAACATGGAAACTTCTTCAAGATATCCTTTTTCGCCCAAGTCGACAATAGATATATTTGGAAATTGCACTGAGTTTTAGTTCTCCTCATTGTTTTGAACTCCTAGTAGTTAGAAACCATGCATGTTTTTTTGGTAAGTGAAACCATACATGTTCCACAGCCATTTGTCTTCATATGCTTGATCTTAATCATGAGCTGTTGAATAGATACTCTTCTTATTGCAATAGTAGAAATAACTGAAAAGAAAAATAGAACTTAAAAAAAAAAGAAATTTCAGGCTGTTGAACTTTTTTTTTTCCTTTCATATCCTCTACACGTTTTACTCTTATTTTTTGTCACCTTTTATTCCTTTTAATATTTTGATCAATACCTCCCCCCTCCCCTCTGAAAGTCCTCTTGTTTGTATCTGCTTGATAAGTGACTAAAATTTTGCCATTTATATGATATGGCTATAATGCAAAGCTGATCTTACACACTGGATTTCTTGACTGGAGGTTACATGCAACGTAGAAGGAAATTCCGGAAAGGTGGATCCCATTCAACCCTTTCTTTATTGAGAAAGGAACTGCGTGAAGGAAATTTACAATCCCTTCTTGGGGGGTCTTCCTATGTAGTTTCTTCCTCCAATACTGCACCTGATCCATTATTATCCTCATTTATCTACAATTTGCCCACGATTGATGAGCCAAGGACTGTACCATCTAATTCTTCTGCTGAAGCAAGCTCGGTCAAAAAAAGTTTAGACGAGTCGGTATTAGAAAGGTATGTGGTTGTCATGTTTCTTTTTATGACATTTCTGGAACTAGAATTCTATTGTTCATAGAAATGAACTGTATTTTCATTTGCTGCACAAATTTTATCTAGTTCTTGTGATCCTCAGACAAATCAAGAAACTTTTCCTACTTGATTTGTTTGACAAGAAAATGGACTAAATGTGTAAAGAATAAATTTATGACAAACAACTAGAACTTGGTCTGTTGAGTAAGTAAACTAGTTGCATTTCACTGTCAATCTTTATCGCCCTTGACAAATAGTTAAATTTTATTCTTTTTATTTGGATGTTTTGGATTGGAGGGTTTAACGCATATGCTTGCCCTTGGAATGTGTATTATTACTATAGAAAAATACATGGATTGGATTAAAAAAAAACGAAGTGTCACATGTCTTAACTCTTAATTACAGTGAGCTGGCTTCTTGAGGGGGATGGTTGTCTAGGTCCTTCCTTCAATATGAAGTGTTTTATGATATGAAGCATCAAGGTTGCTTGTGATCATATTCTTTTTCCCAGTGTTAGCATGCTTATGATCATGCAATTTTAGATACTTTACTTTTTTTTCCAGTAATAAAGGCAGTAGTTAGTGGTATTGAAACCTTGAGCGGTTGATATTTTATTTACACATTCAATTTGCTAAAGATAGAACTAAATATGCGGCAAAATTCTATGTTTTGAGTTAAAGAATGAACAGGCAATATAATATAAAATCTTCTAAAAGAAATGCTTTAATCATCAAGAAAGGGTTCCTTTGGTTATGTATATTGAGGGAAAAAAGTGAAAATGAATGACATACATTGGTTAAGCTATGGATGAATTTTACTTGGTTTTATTAGTTTCCTTTCTTACGTATGCATCAACAAAGTGAAGGCAGAACGCTTTTTACTTGGAGTAAATAATTTATATGTTGTTTAGTAATTGGTACATTGATACTGTGGTTTGATGAAGAGTCGACCAATAATGTGATTTTTACTTTTTATTTATCAAAAAATGGGATTTTTACTTTTTGAGTAATGGTATACTCAAAATGTTCCAAAATTAAATGAGTGAATTGTATTTTAGATGGAGTTATCAAAAGAGCTACCTCAGCCAAGTGTTATGAGATAATTTTGGTTGTTTTTAGTAAGAAGGGTCACATTTATTAAAAGCGGGTACAGTTGCTGTACTTCTTTCTTTATTTATTTTTTGTAAATTTGATTCAGTGGTTGTCACTTGGGCAATTTTTGGTTGTCATATGGCAATAAATTCGATAACCATGCCCACTTAAAGTTACATTTTGTCAGATGGGAATATATTTGATAACAATACCCATTTAAAGTCTCTCTTTTTTTTTATCAGCAAAGAATTAATTTTATTAATCAGTGAAAAGCCGGTTACAATACAGTCAACATTCCAACAAAGCCAAAAAACTACAATTGTGCCCAAAACAGCTGCTGCCTATGGACCCTCTGCTTAGTTAATGAATCAGCCATTCCATTTGTAGTCATTCTGATCCAAGTGAAGGAAGCATTGAGTCCCCTTGCCAGACTTTCTATCTCTCTCAGTGTGTGTCTATATATCCAGGGACCATTACACGTTGTAGTAGTCCAAGAGATGACCAGTTTTGAATCCCCCTCTACCTCCAAATTTTGAAAGTTTGCTTGCTTAGCAAGTTTTAGACCTTGTAACAGCGCTAGCAGCTCAGCCTTTATTGAATGTCCTACCCCTAGCGGACCCCTGAGTACATTGCCAATACTTTCCATGAACAATCTCTAAATACACCCCCCTATGCCTGCCAGTCCTGGGTTTCCTAAAGAGCTCCCGTCGAAGTTCAGCTTTATTTTATTGCCATCTGGGGGCTTCCAGTCCATCACTTTTTTTTTTTTTTTTTAATCTTTCCCTTTAGTGGAGTGTGCAACATAGTTTTCAAGGCGCCAAGGCGAGGCTAGGCGACAGGGGAGCGAGGGGGGCGCCTTGTCACCTAGTCGCCTAGGCGGTGGATTTTTTTAAGTAAAAACATGTATCCTAGGGTAGTTCTCTAGGTTCCATAATCATATTTCCTTAATAAATACCCATAATTTTCATAGGAAAAGTATAAACTTTATTTTGAAGTATAGAAAATCAACATATTCCAACATAATCATGAGAGAAAAATTAAAAAATATAGGGGCTGAACCCCTATTTCTGTTATAGGAAAAGAAGAAAAGAAAAGGTGGAAGAAGAAATTAGTAAATAAACACACAAAATTAGTAAAGAAAAAGAAGAAAATGTGTTGATTGGACAACATTTTATGTTCTTCTTTATTGGTTCAGGTTTTGAAGTCTTTGAGGGTTCAATACAGCATTTAGCAATGTTTGTGTTGATTAAACCCTAACAAATAAGAAAATAATAAACAGAAATTAGTATATAAACACACAAAATGAATATTTTAGTTTAAAAATGTCCATTTTATAATTATAACCTAAAAAAATTAAGAATACAAAAGTTTTTTATAAAACGCTATAGAAAACTGCTTGGCGATTAGGCGAGGCAAGCCTCCAAGGGCGCCTTGTCTCCTAGGCGTCGCCTTGACAACTATGGTGTGCAACTTCATTCCATTCTCTTGTAATGTCAGTCACTAAAAAGCTTTGAAAGAGCTCTAGTGTTTTTAGCCAACTTGCAACCTCTATCTTTATAGAATCCACAATTTCTTCTTTTGACCTTCGCTTTTCATTGAAGATCCTTGCGTTTCTTTCTGCCCAAACAGTCCACACCATTGCTGCCCTAATTGCTTTCCACATTACCCTTCCTCTTTTCGTCGGTTGCCTTAGGAAGTTTGAGTTGAAGAGACTCACTATATCTTGAGGAGTAGTCCACCTGCAACCAAAGAGAGCGCAAAAAGAGTCCCAGACAAAGAGCACAACAGGACAATAAAGCCGTAAATGAGGTAGGGATTCACCACTTGCCAAGCAAAGAATATACACACAAGGAGAGAGGCATTTATTTGGCCTCCTCTTTTGAACCATGTCATAGGTATTCACCTTTCCAAGGAAAACCTCCCAGCACAATGCTTCGACCTTGGGTGGAATAGGCTAACTCCAAATCTCTTTCACCGGGAAGTTCTTCCCCTC